ACACACACAAACACAGACACTATTCCTCTCTTCCAGAAGGATAGACTACAGATAAAACATCTCCACTCTCTACCGGGAAATTGTATATGCAAAAGGCCTGCTAATCAAAATACCTAATAACACATAATGTGTTCATTACTTTAAATATGCTAAGGTAATTATGCCAGAACGTTATTAACCACTGAAGACCAATCTCAGCATTGGAAATAAGTTCCCAGGTTGATCTTGCCAGCCAAACCTGTCCCCAAACCTGCTCATCAAATGCCCGCTGGTCTAGCATACTGAAGCTGTGTCCCACTGTCTTGATCCTGTTCACTTCCGCTCACTGTCCGCTATGCAAATCTCAGAAGTCCTAGGCTTTTTTGCCACATCATCTCTCACCAGCTAGGAAATACCTGCACTTCCGGATTCTCTAGTACTTCCTCCATCACCAGGAGTCTTGTGGGAGTCTGAGATGTTTATCCTTTTAATTTTTTTTTCAGTACTTGGTATTGAACCCAAGGCCTGCACATTGAGCTACAGCCTCAGCCCCTTTTTTTTTTTCTTAATTTGGGGACAGAGTCTCGCTGCGTCATTAAACTACATAGGCTTTAACTTAGGATCCTCTTGTTTTAGCTTCCTAGAGTGCTGAGATTAATGGCTGCAACACCACACTTCTGGTAACCACTTCCTTTTCTTATCCATTTCCCCTCAGACCTATCTCTAGCATAATGGCTTCAGTGACACTTTCCCTGAGAACTTCCTATCCATTGTCCCAGGAAAAGGGCAGTGTGACTCCTGACAGCTGGCCGCCATCTTGGCCATGAGGGCTCAAATCTCCCGGTGTAGTAGTGAGTCTTCTCTCTTGGGAGCATTGTAAATAAGGCCTCATGATCAGCTTTCCAAGCAATAATAAAGTATATAGCCCACAAATCTGGTGACTATTGAACTGAAAACATATTTATCACAACAGTAAAGCTAAATGTTTCCAGGAAAATAACTTTTTTTAAATGAAAATGCTTTTGAAAAATAAATCAAACCAAATAAATGCTTCTGGGAGACTCTCTGGAGCCCAGGCCCTGGAAAGAACTAAAAGTAATCAATGAGTTGTCCTCTATAATCTCCAAGTCTGAGACTTTAGAAAAACCACCAGGGGAAGCAACCTTGATCAGGGGCATTCTCCCTGGGCCCCATGGCCATGTTTTCATTTCTTGAAATAAGGCCATGCCTTATTTCTGAAATAAGGCTCAAGTGATAATCCAACAAGGTGGGAGGAAAGTCCTTTGGTACCACTTTCCCTTTTAATGAGAGATGAGTGACAGCCATCAAATCAGAAAATAGCCAGTCACGACTCAACATCCCACACCTAACTAAAGTTAAGCTAGTCCCTAGGAGGAAGAGGCAGGTAAGACAATTAAAGCTCACAAAGAGGGTGGTCTGGAGGCAGGACAATCTTGAGCTGCTAATTCATATGCCACATTTTCTTCCTAAATCAATACATCACGTTCTATGGCCCAAGGAAGTTAATGGTTTTACTTCTGAATTATAGGCATGGTTAATTGCACTTCAGAGAGTAGGTGGTATTTATATTGTGCTGGGTTCTTTATTTTAGAAACATAGCAATGGCATGTGTTCATGCATATATTGCAAGCTCCCCCGTGTTCCCAGACCTCAAGCTCTGTGCAAGGCTCTGAGAATCTTAGGAAAGACTTTAGGGCCAGAAGAATCTTTTCTCTCCACTCCTGCCCCAGTGACTGAAATGACCACCATGTAAATGCTTCTGATAAAGAAGAATAAAATTCATTGTGAGCAGCAAGAGAACAGGTATTTGTGGTCCATTTAATGTGCACTGCTCTTACAGTGGAAATGCTGGAGGAAGTTCTGACTCACAGAGTGAAGCCAGAATGTTGATGCTGAACATGCAGATGGAGTCAGCACATTTGCATCTGTGCAGACTCTGATGTTAGAACAAGGTCTAGAATCTGGAACCATCATCAATCATGGTATGTAATCTTCCTCAGCCACACTTGTCCCATCCTTAAAATGAAGTATATTAGTCATTTTCCCATTGCTGGGATAAAATATCCAACACTGACAACTTAAAGGAGGAGAGATTTAACTTGGCTTACAGTTTTGGAGTTTCAGTCCATGGTCAGCTGCCTTTAAGGAAGAACTGACATGGCAGAAGGGCCTGGTAGAAGACAGCTGCTCATGGCTTGGCATCCAGGAAACAGAGAGAGAAGGAAGGAGCCCCAGAGCAAGATACACCCCCCAAAGGCACGCCACCAGTGACACTCATTTTCCAAGCCCACTCCTAACAGCACACCTAATAGCACATTGGCATGAATGTATCAATGGTCCAATCCACTGATGAATATAGTGCCCCATGACCATCTGCAAACACAAGACTTGTGTGTTACATTCTATATCCAAATCACAATATGAGCATTCCTACAATTAATCTCCATGGTGAAACATACCTATCAGCCACATAGTGCACACAAATAAGATTTTCAGTGAATGGCCAAAATGAGTTAGAATTCTTCTATGACTTAGAAAGAGAGGATGGTAGTACGAAGGTCACCAGACTGGCTGTATAACCTTCAAGTGCTCTCAGAACCAGCTATACAAGCAGTAGGCCCCAGCACAAAATGAAAATCCAGGATTCCTTTTAAAAACTTGTTTTTTTCTTCAAGTCCTTTAATATTTAATTTTAAAAACTGATAAATTTTAATTGACACATAATTTGTAGGGTTCAGTATAAGAGTCCAGTACAATGTGCAATGATCAGATCAGTAACTGGCTTATCCTTTGCCTCTGACACTGGTCATTGAATATATTTTCAATTGTACAATTAATTGTTGTCAACTATTCTTAATAATAATTATTAATTCTCAACCTTACTGAGCTATAGAACATCGAATGTTATTTCTCCCACTCAGCTACACCCCTGTGCCCACCAGAACCCCTCTCTCTGTCTCCCCTCACCACCTCCCAGCCCCTGGTAACTACGATATTGTTCCAGTCTCTACTTCTACTAGATTTAGTTTCTCACAATAAGTGTGGTTGCGTGGTATTTATCCTTCTGTGCCTGACTTATTTCATGTTAACGTAATGTACTCCAGCTCCATGCATGTTGCCGTAAATACCTAGTAAAAATTTTTTTAAAAGAGTGTTAAGATGGTTATGAAAGAGCATTAAACAAGGCCCCTGCTCTTCTAAGTAAGGGGTCCATGCAACTGTACAACAGACCCAATCATGAAGACAGCTCTTATTGGGCCTTTTACCTGGATCCTCATCCTGCTTACTTCAGGGTCTAGCTCAATGATTAACACTTGCAAGTGACAAGAAAAATGAACATCATTCATCTGACCACTATAAGTCCCAGCTGCTTCCCCAATACCTCCAGAGATGAACAACGGCTGCTATATTAGCCCATGTTTAAGAGAAAAGATAAAGAAAAGAACCACAAACTATATGGGCATGTGTAAGTGTAAATCATTTATAACAGGGCTGGGGATTTAGCTCTGCAACACAGCACCTACCCTGCAAGCACAAGGTCCTGAGTTCTATTCCCGGTATCGGAAAAAAAAAACAACAATAAAATCATTTATAACAAAGCATGAAGACAGCAAGCAAAAAATGGGCTCCTTTGATTTATATAAAGGGTTACTAAGAGATCATTCATTTCTGTCTCTCTTTTCCTTTCTACCTGAACTGCTTCCTGGAATACCGAACTATGTAGGGGCCTTCCCTGTGTTTCAAGTTCTTTTCTCAAAGGAAGAATGATCTCTATAATTGTAATATCAGCAAAAGCACCAATATCAGAACAAAAATGCAAAAACACAGGTACTTCCATGTCATAATTACACATTGGAGTTTTTCTTTCCTCCTCCTTAGAAGTGGAACTTGAAAAACAAATTTATATGTATCCACTTTCTCAAGTAAATAGTTGTTCAAGGAAGATAGCCCTAGAAGGATCACTGTCTCTCACTCTCAAGCACTGCTCTATCTGCTGGTTGGAGGACTCTGTGACTGTTAGAGAAATTGCTGTTAAATGCATAAAACACGTAAGAGAATTTTTGAAAAATCCCTTATTATTCATTAAAGCATTTTAGGGCCTCATTAATTCAGATGGGATAATCAGTTGTTGATTAGCCAGGTTGTTAAGCATCCATTGTCAGATGTGATGGGGTGTAAGAAATTACATTTGTATCCACCAAAGAGTCACCTGAATGCCATTAACACCTCATCAAGTTAGGCGGTATCTTCTGGGGATAAATTAGCCAGGTTTTATTCTCCAGTCTTTTCTGCCATCTTCCAAATTTCCTTGCATTGCAAAGCCTTCTTCACTCCCTTTAGTTACTCTTACCTAGCTAAGGTCTAGAGCTCTGTCCAGAGCCATTTACAAAAGCTCATAGATGACAAGGTAGTCATATTTGTTGTCTTTGTTTTGTGTTGCTGCTGTTGTGGTTGTTGCTGTGTGTGTGTGTGTGTGTGTGTGTGTGTGTTGGTTTGGCTTTCAGTTTGGTTTCACAGTTCGTAGCTCAAGCTTCCTTCACACCCTCAGTCCTTCAGATCCTGATATTTGGATCATCAAGGGAATTCCTCAGTCAGGACTCAGAGGATCCACTTCCTTCCTTTCCAAATCTTGACTGACTGAGAGTAATTTAACAGCAAGGAGCATGGTGAGAAAAGTCCCTGGATTAGAGGTTGGAAAAAGTGATTCAGAGTCCTGGTTCTGTTTTCAGAAAGAAAGTGAGTGTCACTAGTAACCTGCTTTCTATACCAGCACATCCTTTCACCTTCCTGGCTGTAATTCATTTTCTCTCTTTAACAACAAAGCAACATTAATATTGAACCATGGTATCACAGAAAGAATTAGGACTGTATTTCTATAAAAACAGGTGAGTTCCCAACACTCCATGGAGCTTCAGTCTCCAAGGGACAGAGGGCTCCCAAGATTGTCAAGAACCCTCCCCCAACTTAACCTCCCAGTAGAGAGGGCCTGTTTTACTCACGGAACTGCTCCAGATTGTCAGCGCTATTAGAGTCTGGCGTGGCTGTGATGGTAACCAGTGGACATGGATTCCCAGCCAGTGTCTGGCAGAGAATTTCCTGCCGGAAGTAGATTTCTCTGGGATTGATGCTTTTTTCCAGGATCTCAAGGTGAGTCTGGAGCAAAAATAAAGCAAGAAAGTATATTATTAATATTTTATGTAAGAATAATAACAGACAAGGGGCTGGGGATTTAGCTCAGCGGCAAAAAGCGCCTGCCTGGCAAGCGCAAGGTCGTGAGTTCGGTTCCCGGTACCGGAGAAAAA